CCAGTCCCATTCCCAGTGCTCCCAGTCCCCATTCCCACTACTCCCAGTACTCCCAGTGCTCCCAGTCCCCACCCCCAATGCTCCCAGTCCCTCCCAGTCCCCATTCTCAGCGCCTCTCAGTGCTCCCAGTCCCCCCTTCCCAGCGCTCCCAGTGCTCCCAGTGCCCCCAGCCCAGTGCTCCCAGTGCCCCGAGTCCCCCACTCACGCCTCACTTCCCGCTCCCCGCTCATCTCCGTCTCCTCCGCCGTCCGCTCCCGCCGCTCTCCGGCCCCGCCCCCTTTTTCCTCCTCTCCGCCAATCGCCGTCCGGAACTTTCGGATCGGCCGCTCCCATTGGACGAAGAGTAGAAGCCGCCCCTCTTCCGTCGATCACTTCCGCTTCCGGTTTCTCATGCAGTACTTCCGGTGCATCCTCACTTTCTGTTCCCAGTGCCTCCCAGTATGGCCCAGTGCTCCCAATATGGCCCAGTATCCCCCCCCAGTCTCTGTTCCCAGTGCTCCCAGTATGGCCCAGTATGACCCAGTGCCCCCAGTCTCTGTTCCCAGAGCCTCCCAGTATGGTCCAGCACCTCCCAGTATGGCCCAGTATGACCCAGTGCCCCCCCCAGTCACTGTGCCCAGTGCCTCCCAGTATGGCCCAGTATGACCCAGTGCTCCCCCCATTCTCTTAGTGCTCCCAGTATGGCCCAGTGTTCCCAGTATGGCCCAGTATCCCCCCCGCAGTCTCTGTTCCCAGTGCCTCCCAGTATGGTCCAGTGCCTCCCAGTATGGCCCAGTGCCCACCCCAGTCGTGGTGCCCAGTGCTCCCAGTATGGCCCAGTGCTCCCAGTATGGCCTCAGTGCCTCCCAGTATTCCCCGTATGGCCCAGTGCCCCCCCCAGTCACTGTCCTCAGTGCTCCCAGTACAGCCCAGTGCCTCCCAGTGCTCCCAGTATGGACTCGATGTCCCCCATTCGCTGTCCCCAGTGCTCCCAGTATGGCCAGTGCTCCCAGTATGGTCCAATGCTTCCAGTATGGCCTCAGTGACCCTCCCAGTCACGGTGCCCAGTCCTCCCAGTATGGCCCATTATCACCCAGTGCCCACCCCAGTCACGGTGCCCAATGCTCCCAGTGCTCCCAGTATGGACTCAGTGCCTCCCAGTATTCCCAGTATGGCCCAGTGCCTCTCCCAGTCACAGTGCCTCCCAGAGCTCCCAGTATGGCCCAGTGCTCCCAGTATCATCTCAAAGTGTCACGTGATGATGGGACTGGGAGGGACTGGGATGAACTGGGAGGAACTGGAAGAGAACTGGGAGGGATTGCGAGGGACTGTGAGGGAACTGGGAGGAATGAGGAGGGGACTGGGAGGGACTGGGAGGAATGGGAACTGGGATGGACTGGGAGGGAACTGGGATGAACTGGAAGGGACTGGAAGAGAACTGGGAGGGACCGGGAGAGACTGGGATGAAATGGGAGGGACTGGGCGGACTGGGACAGAACTGGGAGGGATGGCTAAGGAACTGGGAGGTACTAGGATGAACTGGGAGGGAACTGGGATGAACTGGGTAGACTGGAAGGATACGGGGAGGGAACTGGGATGAACTGGGATGAACTGGGAAGGAAGTGCGGTGAACTGGGAGGGACTGGGAGAGAACTGGGAGGGATGGGGAGGGAACTGGGAGGTACTGGGATGAACTGGGAGGGACTAGGAGGGAACTGGGATGAACTGGGAGGCCTAGGGGGGCTGGGGGGGAACCAGGATGAACTGGGAAAGAGCTGGGAGGTACTGGCATGAACTGGGAGGGTACTGGGATGAACTGGGAGGGACTAGGAGGGTATTGGGATGAACTGGGAGGAAACTGGGAGGAATTGGGAGGGGAACTGGGATGAACTGGGAGGGGCTGGGAGAGAACTGGGAAGGAAGTGGGGTGAACTGGGAGGGACCAGGCAGACTGGGAGATACTGGAGAAACTGGGATGAACTGGGAGAGACTGAGACAAACTGGGAGAGAACTAGGAGGAACTGGGAGAACTGGAAGGAATGGGGAGGGAACTGGGAGGTACTGGGATGAACTGGGAGGGCACTGGGAGGAACTGGGACAAAAGTGGGGGATACTGGGATGAACTGGGAAAGAATCATCTGAAAATTTCCCCTTTGTTTTATTCGACTGTAAAACACGGAGAGGAGAAACGGCCCTGTGAGCCCAAAATGGGGGTCCAAAGTCCTCCAAGGGACCCCAAATGGAATTGGGGGTCCTCCGGGGGTCCCCAAAGTCCTCCAGGGGTTCCCAGAGTCCTCGAAAGGATCCCAAAGTCCTCCAAGGGATCCCAAATGGAACTGGGGGTCCTCCGGGGGACCCCAAAGTCCTCCAGGGGTCTCCAGAGTCCTCCAAGGGACCCCAAATGGCATTAGAGATCCTCCGGGGGACCCCAAAGTCCTCCAGGGGTCCCCAAAGTCCTCCAGGGGACCCCAAATGGAATCGGGGGTCCTCCAGGGGTCCCCAGAGTCCTCCAAGGGACCCCAAATGGCATTGGAGGCCCTCGGGGGACCCCAAAGTCCTCCAAGAGACCCCAAATGGCATTGGAGGTCCTCGGGGGGTCCCGAGTCCTCCAAGGGACCCCAAATGGAATTGGGGTCCTCCAGGTGTCCCCAAAGTCCTCCACAAATGGCATTGGGGGTCCTCCAGGGGTCCCCAAAGTCCTCCAAGGGACCCCAAATGGCATTAGGGGTCCTCCAGGAGTCCCCAGAGTCCTCCAAGGGACACCAAGATCCTCCAAGGGACCCCAAATGGCATGGGGGTCTTCCAGGGGTTCCCAGAGTCCTCCAAGTGACCCCAAATGTCACCAGGGGTCCCCAAATGTCACCAGGGTCACCCAGGCCATTCCAAGAATGTCCCCAAGTTGTCATCCGGGGTCCTCCAACCGCTCCAGGAGTGTCACCTGGGTCCTCCAAGGTGTCACCGGGGGTCATCCAACCACTCCAGAAGTGTCACTTCAGTCCTCCGACCACTCCAGAATTGTCACCGGAGGTCCTCCAAGATGTCACTTCAGTCCTCCAAGTGACACTGGGGTCCTCTGGGTGTCCCCAAGTTGTCACCAGGGACCCTTGCCTGTCCATAAGATGTCACCGAGGTCCCCCAAGATGCCCACCGGGGGTCCTCCAACCACTCCAGAATTGTCATCGGGGTCCCCCCAAAGTGTCACCGTGGGACTTTCAACCGCTCCATGACCACCGTTGAGGTCCTCCAAGGTGTCACTGGGGTCCCCAGGGTCTCACTGGGGTCCTCCAAGATGTCTCTGTGGGACCTCCAACCGCTCCAGGACCACCGCTGGGGTCCTCCAAGGTGTCACCGAGGTCCCCCAAGGTCTCACTGGGGTCCTCCGAAGTGTCATCAGGGTCCCCCAAGGTGTCACCGTGGGACCTCCAACCACATCAGGATCACCACCAGGGTCCCCCAAGATGTCACCGGGGTCCTCCAAGGTCACACCGGGGTCCTCCAGCCACTCCATAACCACCGAGGTCCCCTGAAGCGTCACCGGGGAGTCCCCAACCTCTCCAGAAATGTCACTGGGGTCCCCCAAGGTTTCACTGGGGTCCCCCAGAATCTCACTGAGGTCCTCCAAGATCTCACCAGGGTCCTCCAAAGCATCACCAGGGTCCCCCAAGATGTCACCAGGGGTCCCCAACCACTCCAGAAACGTCACCGGGGTCCCCCAAGGTGTCACCAGGGCACCTCCAACAGCTCCATGCATGACCACACTGTGGTCCCCCAAAGTGTCACCAGGGTCCCCCAAGGGGTCACTGGGGTCCTCCAAGGTCACATCGGGGTCCTCCAACCACTCCATAACCACTGACGTCCCCCAAAGCGTCACTGGGGGGGGGGGGGGCCCCAACCTCTCCAGAAACATCACTGGGGTCCCCCAAGGTGTCACCAGGGTCCCCCAAGGTGTCACTGGGGTCTTCCAAGGTCACACCAGGGTCCCCAAGGTGTCACCAGGGGTCCCCAACCTCTCCAGAAACATCACTGGGATCCCCCCAGGGTCACACCAGGGGTCTTCCAACCACTCCATAACCACCACCAGGGTCCCCCAGGGTGTCACACCACGGTCCTCCAAGATCACACCAGGATCCTCCAAAGCATCATCAAGGTCCTCCAAGTTCACACCGGGATCCTCCAACCACTCCATAACCACCAGGGTCCCCCAAGGTGTCACCTGGGTCCTCCAACCGCTCCACAACCACCACCAAGATCTCCCAAAACATCACCGGGGGGGTCCCCAACCTCTCCAGAAACGTCACTGGGGTCCCCCAAGGTCACAGCGAGTCCTCCAAGGTCACACCGGGGTCCTCCAAGGCATCGCCAAGGTCCTCCAAAGTCACACCAGCGGTCCTCCAACCACTCCATAACCACCGAGATCCCCCAGAACGTCACCGGGGGGGGTCCCCAACCTCTCCAGAAACATCATTGGGGTCCCCCAAGGTGTCACCGGGGTCCTCCAAGGTGTCACCGGGGTCCTCCAAGGTGTCACCGGGGTCCCCAACCTCTCCAGAAACGCCACCGGGGTGCCCCAAGGTGTCACCGCGGTCCTCCAAGGTCACACCGGGGTCCTCCAAAGCATCGCCAAGGTCCTCCAAAGTCACACCAGGGGTCCTCCAACCACTCCATAACCACCACCGAGATCCCCCAGAACGTCACCCGGGTGGGAGGAGGGGTGGGGGAAAGGGGGGGATCCCCAACCTCTCCAGAGCGGGTTGGGGGACAGGTGAAGATGGGAGGCTGGAGGAAGGGTGGGGGGCCACGGCGGGCGCCTCACTTCTGTCTCTGGAAGAGGAAGAGGCGCAGGTTGATGTTTTTGGCCGCCAGCAGTTTGTTGCACTCCACCGAGTCGACGATGGGCAGCGGGACGTAGTCGGTCTCGTTGCTCTCGTTGGTGAACACGAAGTGGTAGATGACCGGGTTGATCTGGACGTCGTCGTAAGGACCCTCGAGGAGGAGGAAGGAGCATTCGAGGGGGGAGCTGACTTTGCTCTTGAGGATGAGCTGGAAGGAGAGGGTGCGCTTGCAGGAGAGGTTGGGGTTGCGTTCGGAGTCGTTGACTCGAGCCTTCAGCACCCAGGTCTGGTTGAGGACCGTCAGCCTTTGGGTCTCGTAGTAAAGCCGGGTGATGAAGTCGTCCGTGCGGTAAGGGCGGAACTGAACCTCTGTATGGGGGGGGA